CGCCTGCTTCTTGGGAGGAAAGCGATGACATACCTTGACAGCATCTTAAAAAGCAGAGACATCACATTGCCAACAAAAGTCTGAATAGTCAAAGCTATGGTTTTTCCTGTCGGGATGTATGGAAGTGAGAACTGGACCATAAAGAAGGCTGACTGCCGAAGAATTGATGCCTTTGAATTGTGGTGCTGGAGGAGGCTCTTGAGAATCCCCTGGACTGCAAGGAGAAGAAACCTATCCATTTTGAAGGAAATCAAACCTGAGTGTTCACTGGAAGGACAGATCCTGAAGCTGAGGCTCCAGTACTTTGGCCGTCTGATGAGAAGAGAAGACTCCTTGGAAAAGACCTTGATGTTGGGAAAGTGTGAAGGCAAGAGGAGAAGGGGACAACAGAGGATGAGATGGTTGGACAGTGTCATCGAAACAACGAACATGAATTTGACACAACTCTGGGACGCAGTGGAAGACAGGAGGGCCTGGCGTGCTCTGGTCCATGGGGTCACGAAGAGTCAGACATGACTAAATGACTAAATGACGACGAAGGTAAAGGTAAAGGTTCCCCTTGACAAATGTCCAGTCATGTCCGACTCTAGGGGGTGCTGCTCATCCACGTTTCCAAGCCATAGAGCCAGCTTTTGTCCGAAGACAGTTTCCATGGTCACGTGGACAGCACTACTAGATAACGAACGCCATGACCTTCCCACCGAGGTGGTACCTATTTATCTACTCACATTTACATGCTTTTGAACTGCTAGGTTGGCAGGAGCTGGGACAAACAACGGGAGCTCACTCTGTTGCGTGGATTTGAACTGCTGATCTTACAATCTTGTGGCCCAGAGTCTTTAGTGGTTTAACCCGCAGAACCACCAAGTCCCTTTTAAGTCTATATTTTGATATAGACTTATTTAAATATAAAATAAAGAAAAAGCATATGATTTCAAACCATTACAGCTAACCAAGCTGTGAAAAGAAGAACAATATTTCAAACTATTGCAGCTAACGAAGCTGCTCATTTGTCTAGAACTTCTATTTCCCCTTTCTCAGCATAAATTTAGAACAGGATTAAACTACAGATTTCGACAAGAAAACTGGTATGTACATCTTTGTGAGATAAACAATTCTATAAGAATGATAACACCGAAACGAACCCTTTCCAGCATATGCTCCCAATGCTACCTTATAATATAAATAACTCTAAAGTAATTAAGTATGACAGCTCTTGATGAAACTGCTGGAAGACATCACATGTCACAATTGCTCAGACTCCCACTTGAAGAGTCTACTGCCTGTAGTCCACAAAGCAAAGTGCAAGCTATTTTTATAACGCTGAGATAATGTGGGCCAATTCTGAACATAAAAAAATATTTGACCCTATTCAAACACTATCTTTTGGAAAGGAAGAGGAGGCCTTATTTCTAAGAATCTGTGACCCTTGCTCAAGCTAGTTATTACATGTAACTTGAGCAAATAGGCCAAAGTCTGACTGTGCTGTTTTATTAATGTTGGAAAATGTTTTTATTACTTATGACCACAGGCCGCTTGGAAGCATGATACTAAACAAGAACACATAGTAACGGCACAGGGAGAAAACACATACAAAATGGTTGTCATGTGAGGGATTTAGGCCTTTACAATGG